ACTAGATCTGCGATTACTGATTGGGCACATTGTCACCAATACCAAATCTAGAATTTTTCTCAATTTCGGATCGGGACTGATACAGTTACTAATATCATATCAGTGCATTTTTAATTCTAACTGTTGTGTATTTGACTAGTCCAAAAATGAGAAGAAGCCAGACGTAGGATGTTATGGTATAAATATTATCCGTTTTGAACCAGATATGAATGAAATCTCTCTGAAATAACCATTACAGCTCAAAATGGTAGCTTATATTAAATTATAAAATACAAAGTAAAAAGTCGTAAACAAATTCTGGTTAAACCCAAAACAAATCCTCAACACTAACCTCCATATAAACTGTTTTCAGCAGAAGGACCTAAAAGAGTAAAGGTCAGGAACAGCTTTCTAAGACTGATATATATCAGATTAATCAGGTTCAATACAATTATTAAGGTGTGCACACTTAACACAGTTGTGTTTTTATGTTTTTACCTCAGAGATTTATTTTTTTTAGTTGAAATGTTCATATTTGTCATATTATGGGCAAAAAAATGTTTAAAGTTATATATCAATATATTGTTTTTGTCTTTCTAAAATGGGTTTGTACAATATGGAGAAGCACTTTGTACCCAGATGACTTTGAATATTATAAACAAAAATTAGACCAGATTTACATTTAGAAATTTCCTCTCAGCAGGAAAACAAACCATAGGTGTTGTTAAAACATTTCTCATGAAACTTAAAAAGAGCACAACTTTTTACTATTCACTAAAAAGGAAAGGAATTAAAACAAAGCAAATTGTGTCAATAACAAAGGAGAACAAGAAGCTGGAATTTAAACAAAAACATGGAGGCTTGGTGTTAATTACTCCTCAGTAAATACATTAAAAATAAAACTCACACATATACACATGCACTGATGACTAATAAGGTTAGGGTCTGAAAAGCTGAGAGTGAAAATAATCATCTGGACCTTTTAATTAAACCAAGTAAACAGTGCAGAGAGCAGAAGGTGATTCTCAGCATAACAACACCTGCATGTTATTAAGGATGTTGAACTGGGTTTGTCACTTTTCAGAAGGCTCAAAGCTCCAATTAGCATTAAGATGGTCAGGTTGGTATAGTATATCTGATGTGTTTAATAAGATGATATTAACTTAATAAATATGTGTCATGTGTATGTTCACCAACTGGAAGACATGAAGAAAGAATATTAGTCTTTACTAGGCAAGGCAAGGCAACTTTATATAGCCCCTTTCAGCTGGAGACACAGTACTTGTATAAAAAAGTTAAAAACAACATACAAGAAGATAAAAAAAAAAAATCAAACGGATAAAAAATAGACAAAGTAAACATTAAAAATTTTAAATATAGTGAATGAATAGAATTTAACATTTTTAAGAATAGGCAACTGCAAATAAAAAAGTTTTAAATAAACTCAAAATAGGGGCAGACTCACAATGGACAGGAAGCTAATTCCAGGTACTAGGGTTCCTGTCAAAGTAATGTCTTCCCACTTCATATATATATATATATATATATATATATATATATATATATATATATATATATATATATATATATATATATATATATAAACAGAAAGGAAGCCAAATAATAATAATAAAAAAAGATTTGTCTTTTTAAACTTTGGACACTGAGAATCTTCCAGGTTAAAATTTATTTATTTATTTTCCATAGTCCTATCATTCACTTGGTCTTCACAAATAACCACAGCATCTCAAATGTATTCATGTTCCTTTCATGATGTTTTTTGGGACGTTGTGAAAGCCTCGGCTCAAAAGCAGCTTGTATTTTATATTTGTGATATTTTCCCAGCATTCAGCAGGTTTCATTCCATTCTTCCTTTTCTGTGTTTAGTTTGACTTAACATGCCCTACACTTCATCCTTTAGAGGCGTGTCAGAGTGTCGAGTGGAACCCAGCAGGCAATGATTGGCTAGTGCATATCAGAACCAACTAGGCTCATGTCATGTGCTGGATGGTCCGTTTGAGCCGTTCTGGTTCTGCCTGACTCGAGGAGCTTGTATCATTGGACAACAGATCTCTTCTGACCACAGCAGATTAGCCTAACGTTTTATCTGCTCTCAAGTTAATTTCATTCAAGATGGGATTCTGCACCTCCTGGACACAAACACATGAAAACTGTAGTGGCTACTTTGTGTTCCTCTGTTAAATTTACGGCTGCTGATGATTTATTTTGTACAAACTTGTAATTTTTATCATAACTGGCAACGTTTTTTTTTTTTTGTTTTGTTTTGTTTTTAGAATTTCAAAACTTTTCCCACCTTTAGTACGACCTATATGATAGTGAAAGTATGGTATAGGAAGAGCAAAATATCTGGCTGGGAATGTGAAAAATATTTAAAAAGCAATAATCTGGTTGTCTGCATTCACCTAAACCAGGGGTGTCCAAAATGTGGCACGGGGGCCATTTGCTGTCCTCTGAATGATTTTGTGTGGCCCATGACAAAATGAAAAATCATTAAATATCTTATAGGGTGACAAATTTAACAAATAAAGTCTTAAATTAATTTTAAAAATGCTTAAGCAACACAAATTAAGAAATTATTCATCTGGTTTTAACATTCATATTGATTTTGTAGTATTTTAGGAACAAAGACATACATTAACTCTTACTCAGGCTTACGCTAAGAAAGAAATAATTGAAAGTAAAAATAAACAAAAATCAGAAAACAGTACGCCTGACTCTTTTTATGTTTTGGAGCTAAAATGATTTATGGAACTCCTTCCTGGAAAAATCTGGCTAATTTGTTTGTTTCAATACAGTTTAGCATACTTTAGTTGATTTCTGAGCAGATAAATAAAATAGTAAATATAAACTTGACAATTTTGGCCCTGATGGTAAAAAGTTTCCAGTCATTCACCTTTTGATTTAATTTCAGCATTCAGTCTTTTTTGGTAGGAGTCTATTAATCATGTCACATCTTGACTGGGCAATATTTGCTTGCTCTATCTTGCCAACGTTTTCCAGATCGATCAAAGTGGGAGGACATTGCTTGTCCATTTTAAGTGAGCCCACAGATTTTCTGTCAGATTCAGTTCCAGACTTCCTTCTGGTGACAGTTCTTTTGTTGATTTAGCATGCTGTTGTGATGCTGTACACTGAAACTCGTATTTGGATCTTTTGCATCTAAAAAAAAAAATAAAAAATGGAACCGCAAATCATGATTGTGCCACCCCCATGTTTCACTGTGAGCACGCTGTGGCATCTGGGTAGGCACAGCCCTGTTTCTGCATCTAATATACCTTTTGGAATTGTGGCCCCAACGTTCAAGTTTGATTTAATCGGTTTGGAATTATTTTGATCTCTTCTCCTGGCAGATAATCAATCAATCAATCAATCAATCAATCAATCAATCAATCAATCAATCAATCAATCATATAGAGTTGTATTAAGGGGATAGCAGCCCAGACTTCCCTCACTCCAGCCACTTGGTTCAGTTCCTTTGGGGAGTCCGAAGGAGTTGCCAGGCCAGCTGAGAAGCATAGTGATTCACACGCTTTACCCCGTGCTACCAACATGCTAAATCTTCAATGTACGTGTGATATATAAAAAAGAAAAAGGAACCCAGTGCTTTGCTACTAATTGTCAACACTAGATAACAAGGACAGTAAAATGTGATGTGTTTCAGTTCAGTTTAAAAAAACAGAACTATGCGACCCACACCAACTCTGACAGATCATCAGTAGAGCAGGTTTTTAAATTAGCTATTTAACTAACCACCATTGTGTTAACTTAGCTAATAGTGGTATTTAACCTACCACAGCGATCACTTATTTATGATCGTAAAATAAACTTCAAGCCTAAAAACATAATAGTGTAACGGACTGAATGTTCTGTTCTTTGTGTGAGAAATGTTTGTTTTTGTGCTGAATCCTGATACACTTATTCAATTTCGTTTTTTTGTTTTATGTTTTTTGTTTTTCCCCAGTTGAATTTTACAAAATGTATCTCATATCAGAGATGGAAAAAGATTTTAAAATTGTATGGTGTTAGTATTTTAGCAGGTGTGTGTATCATTTTTAGAGGAGCTGCACGTTTCCCTCCAGCTGCTAACTGCTGCCGCTCTTAAAGCCCAGTAATACCTCTCAACTGCCATCCATTCAGAAGCAGCTCTTTATGGCTCATTTTGTGCATGGAAAATTCTGCTAATTCCATGATGGGTGAAATTGAGTCAGTGTTACAATTTTCAGGTAATTCGTTGCTGACTGAATATACACGTTATTTATCCCGCTTATGCCCAAGAGCATCATCAGTCCTTTTGCTTCAGCAAATGGGGCCATGATACATTATACCTATCATGTCAGATGCTTGATTTGCAGCAGAATCGGTCTGGAAATTATGTCAGGGAATTAGGGAATATTGGCATAACACCTCCCCTATTAATTCCAATAATACCAGGATGATATTGGTAGTTTTGCACTGCAGGTTTTCCAACTGTACAAATGAAACAGCATTGGATTAGAATGTATTTCTGAGACAGATAAAAGCATGAATTAAAAATTCTGCTACTTCTGCTCCTTTTTAGTTCATCACACTGTGAATGGAATTATTATTGACTTGTACACTACCTTGCAAAGGGGTCAATATCCCTTCAGGCTAAATACTTGATTACATGAATACTTTGGGCCACGACTAAAAATCCTTATAACTGCCTGTAACTGTAATAATAGGACTTTATTCTTGTAATATTAAGATGTAATACTCCACCCAGTGGGCGGTCACGTACAGAGTGACTAAGTTGTTGCCAAATTACTGACTTTGTTGCTATATTTAGCGATATTTCAGACAAAGTAAATTGGTATCGGATAAAATTGGAACTGGGAGTTCAGGCTTATCTGGCCAATATCAGTGATCGGCCAGAAAACTGCAATAGACCCTTTTCACATGACGTCAGACAACATCCGTTTTGACTCAATGCTGTGTATCTTTAATTCCGGTGTGTGGAATTAACACTGTTTCTAGACTCTAAAGCAGCTGCCACAAATATGTTTAAAGATATATCACTATTTGCAAACAATTTTTCTTCATCAACATAATCTAAACTGGACAAATTCCTCGCTGATTGATACCAGTTTCACTACGAAGGTACGCGTTTTGGTTTTTTCTAGCTGTTAGTTGATATGCTAGGATAGCAATAGTAATTTGTTAGCTGGCTAACATTACGTAGCCTTTCTGTTTTGGAAATAGAACATATTTAGGCTCTAATCTTAATCAGATTTTTATAGTATAGACTGGGGTTGCCACCTGTCACGTAAAATGCATGATCGTATTAAACCCTCCTCACTTACACTAGTTTCACCACCCGCTCAGTAGCAACATTACCTGTAATCTCAAGTTCAAAACTTGACAGTTATGCCAAACATCCACTGCTCCATTACAGCCTGAGAAGTCAAACTCTTGCTAAGATAGAGACATGAGTAGGAAGACGCTGTTTTAGATGATAGATAGATAGATAGATAGATAGATAGATAGATAGATAGATAGATAGATAGATATTAACGTTTCATAGGAGAAATGTGATGAGATATATATATATATATATATATATATATATATATATATATATATATTCCAATGAATATTTATCAAAGGTTATGATTAGAAGGTTAAGTTTACTTTACTTTGTTTTCCTGCAGTTGTAGACTTGGCAGTAGAAAATTGATAGTATAAGAATAACAACTTTATGTCCCTTTTAACAGGTTACACTTGATTCTGCTGTGGTGCCTGTGGAAACAAAGTACATGAAGTTTGTACTGAGGTGGGAAAACCCTGTGGATCACATGGTGGGACTTCTGCTTCAAACTGCTCACTACAGTTTACCACTGCCTCTGTCATCCACCAGTTCAATGCAGACTGGCACCAGTTCACTGCAGACTGGCACCAGTTCACTGCAGACTGGCACCCGCCAAGGACCCTACATGGATGTCTTCTTAAGTTGTAAACCCTGAGTACATACTGTTGAAATAAAATTGATATGCCTTTTGTAAATACATTTTCTCTATCAATGACTTAAATTGTTAACTGTGGTAATTATGTTTGTGTAATGTAGTAACCATGTAGTGTTTAATATAATTATTAAATATATGTTTTAAAGAAACAGCTACAAAACTTATGTATTTGGTCCGCAATAGCAGCTTTAATTTAGCATTTCCTCTCCTCCACATACTTTGTTGCCAGATGTGTAAGATTTACAGAAAAAAAGCAATTTAAATGTAAAAGTTGCACATATGTAGATTACTCAAGAGAAGCTATTAACAATAGTTTTTTACAGAACTCTACACAACATCAATTCATTTATTAATAGATACATATTAATTACAGAATAGATACACAAAGATTTCATTTCTAACAGCTGCTGGCAGTAGTGAGTGTTCATCCAAGAAGTGTGGCTTGCAGGAGCAGGGAGGCTCTGTACTGGTTTCTCCTTTTAAATCAAGAAGCCCATGATAGTTTGATGTTAGGCAGCAGATGTCCCACAGCTGATTGACTGAACCTGCCATGGACAGAGGAACAAGACCATCCCAGATATGGTAGGCTAGGTAGGCTACTGTTGAGAAAGATGAACAAAACAATATGAGAAATTATGAATCACATCAGAATATGTAAATTATTTGGCAGATAGCGCTTAAGTCAATATTTAAAATGCTTTTCTAAACAACTGTTGGAAGATGTCAGTGATTTTAGTGAAACTTAATACAGCACTGACAGGCAGCGGTGTATACGTTTCCTAACTGTGGCTAAAGCTGCTGCTAGCTGATTTATTCTCCGATCGGAGGCTGTTTATTATATACACAGTCAGAGAATGGTGGATTGACAATGAGTAATGACGGTTATCTAACACTTAAATGCTGTTTTATTAAAGTTGATAAATAAAGTGAATCTCTAAATGTTACAGCACTTACAGAGCGGTGTATATTTTTCTTAACTGTGGCTAAAGCTGCTGCTAGCTGGTTTACTCTCCAATTGGAGGCTGTTTATTGTATACACAGAGAATGGTGGATTGACAATGAGTAATAACGGCTATCTAACACTTAAATGCTGTTGTTATTAACCTTACCTTTTATTATATCCTTAAGATAATGAGTATCCGTGAATTTTTCAGTCGGGTTTCCCGAGGCAAAATCACACCGGAAGTAAAGATACACCTCTTCGAGTTATGGCGGCCGTTGTCTGACGTCACTGTGAAAAGGGTCTATTGTTGCACCCTTCAATCAAATAGTGGTCTATAAGATGTTTAATGGTTAGGACACTGTTAACTTACCTTAAAACTTTTCTGGACTTTCTCCTTCACCTGTATGCTGCGTTCCTGGAAACCATTTATAACTTTCTCTATCACATAAAAACTTGATAAAGTATGTTGAAGTTTGAGGTTTTAAGTGACAAAATGTGAAAAAGCTCAATGGATACAAATACTTTTGCAATGCAAAAAGCATTCTTATTTCTGACTTTATTCGTGAGTGGCATAAAAAGTGTGTCATAGCTGGAAGAAGCTCTAGGAAGTCCAGGCTGACTCCTTTATTAGCAAAGCGCTGCTGGATGTTCTCCGCCTCATCCCTCCATTTATCAACTTCCATTTTCCTGGCATCAAGTAACTAAACAGATTACAGCAACAATGGGCAAGAGCAGTTGTGAGGCCTTCAGCAGTGTGTTATCTTTGACTGCCCAGGATGCTTTATCAGGTCCAGTTGAAAGGGGTCGCGGAGGGGGGCTTCGAGTGAGGCTTTGATACTTTTAAAAATAGATTTTACAACTGGAGGGAAACAAAGTTACCAAGAGTAACTTCAGTCCTGTGAGTACGCTCGGTTCTCTCTAAAGGCATTATGCCTCCCTGATGATTCTCCGTCTTTTGAACATGGATTCCAATGTGCACTCTCTGTCTGATGGTCTGAGGAAGATGTAGAAAGTCACAGGCTGTAGGTGTTCATATCAGATCACTTGTTTTTGTATATGAAGCTGATTGTCACTCCACTTGCCAGCTTTCTTTCTATGCTACAAAACCATATATGCTTATCAAATTTTAACAGGTTTTAACCCACATGCAAGTTCCCAGACAGCAGACACACATGCACGCACACACACACACACACACACACACACACACACACACACACACACGCAAAGATAAACTGAGGGAAAATAAATAACATTTGCACTAAGATGGTACAAGTGTTTCAGTTGATGAACCAAAAATTAACAGACACAAAAATTTATGATGATGGCTGACGATATAGGCTTAATTTAAAACAAAAACAACAACAACTGATAAAAACAATAAGGAGGACATTCAACTAAAATCTTGTCTGAATAACAGTGTCTTAGCTTGCCTTTTAAAGAAATCAACATCGGGGGCCACACAGAGATTAAGGGCCTGTTTAAACATGAGTCTTAGCAGAACTGAATATTGAATAGAATATTTTTCATTAACATCATAATAACCTGAACCAGGGCTGTGTGTACATTTATGATCTGCTCTAGTTATTTAGGGAAAGATATTGTATGCCTAAAACAAACAATCTGCAGGTTAGGATTTAGGAACTTATCATCTAAAATGTTTCAAAGGAAATAAAATAAAGTGAGGCAGTTACAGTGGGAGTTCACAAGAACAAAATGTGACTATATCAGATGTTGCCAAAGGCTTTCACAGTGAGCACATTTTTAAAAACTGATTTGAAGGTCGCTAGAGACATATTTTGCCTGAGTTCATTCAACAGACCCGGATCAAAAATTAATAAAACAGCTTCCTGTTCTCTGACCTAGCAATAGATGTCAGGGCAGTTTACACAGATGCCATTGGTTGTAAGGCTACAGGGAAAGTGAATGAATCTGTGATTAAACAGTAAGGTCATTTAAAGCTGTGCAGTAAAATTTTAAAACCAATAGTAAATCTAACAAGGTGCCAAGTACTCAGTGATGCATTTATGACTCATTTTAGTTATTAAAAGTGGAGCTACTGGAATTTGAGTCAAGAAACAATGACTAAGTGACAAGGTAGGCGATTCTCGCATTGTATTAAAATGTGACAAACAGGAATGAATATTAAACAGTTTATACACAGTTAATACACAGAGATTCCTTGCAACCAATTTGTTGATGGACAACCAAGATTAAAACCATCAGGATGGTAAGAATTTAATGGATGAAGCAGCAAAACGTATTACTTTCCCATGAGAGATATGCCAGAAATCCAAACTGTAAAAACTGTAAAAAAAAGATGCTGAAATTTGCTACATCTGTCGTCTACAAAATTTACAAGTGTACACGGTTTTCTCTTTTTTTCTTAAAGAAACTAAGAAGATTGAAAGCATAAAAAACATGTGAATAGAACAATTATTGACTGAGAGAGTTGACACTAACAAGAGAAATGGCTCGTGATTGATAAGGGAAATCCTACAACCACTAAAATCTGATGCCACTCCAATTTTGTCTACATTTCTTGAGGAAGGAAGTTGTGCTCATCTGTTCTCTGGAGGTTTAAGTGTTATTTCCTTCAATAGTTCTTGGTGCAGCGCCACCACAAGTGAGGGGGAGAACAGGTTTTTTAAAGCGTTAGGGCTGTTTAACGCAGTGCAGTGTGAAAGTGACTTGCTGCAGCTGGAAATGTAACAAATGTTGCAATTTTGGTCCCCAGTTGGAAAGAGTCTACCATTTACATCTGGAAAATATTGCCTATGCACACAACCCTGTAGGGTAAAAAGACTTTTCGGTAACACTTTATTTGAAGGGGGTTGAATAAGACTGTCATGACACTGTCATTAACATGACATAACACCTGTCATAAACATGACATAACACCTGTCATGAACATCAATAAGTCTTCATGAATATTCATGACTGTTGTCATAAAGCGTCATTCAGTAAATTATGACACTTTTAATACAAAGTTGACATTATTCAAAATGTCTTTATGACAACTTGACATTAACCAAGAAATCATTTCTGTTTAAACTTTACCTTTAATAACATAAAGTTACCTAATTTTTAAAGTGCAATCAGTAATACTTTTATAACAAATTTATATCAGTAAGCTGATGAGCTGTTTTTTTGCCATCCAGCAGGAGGATGAGGGCGGGATCTCACACACTTGGCGTCATTGAAATGTGTCTATAAGACCTGAGATCTCTATTAGTCTGATATGTAGAGAGAATTGAAGTGCTTCTAAACTCCAGAGAAAATGCTTCAACTTCAAGTTTCACAAATTGTTTTGTACACATTGTCTTTTTAATGTGTTTAGAAATATACTAGGATTTGGTGTTCTATCTTCAACTAATCATATAATGGCAATGTGTAACACTGAAAGGACATGAGCAGCATCGACAAATTACACATTAGCCTAAAAGGCACAAGCCTTGGTGGTTTCATAAGACACTCTTTAATATGCATGAAACTGCTCTCTAGGTGTAAGGCAAAAGCCTTGCACTTCTGATGCACCTGAGACAGACTCTGACAAGCCTCCATGTGATGTATGGAGATAAAAGAGCTTTCCTCTGTAGGTGGAGACCGAAGACGGAGCTGGAAGGTAGAGAATGTGAGATTAATGAGAGCGCGCCCTGCTCAAACAGTTTCCGACGCTTTCTTCTATGTGTTTCTCTGTAGTTTCATCCCACTTTTTTGCCGTGTTTTAAAACTTTTTGCTGTCTATAATTTCAGCAGAGGAGGGGAATAGAAAAGTTTTCCTCACTTCTTTGTGATAGCAAAATGTCTCATAGTTGTGTTTTTTTTAAGATGTTTTTGAGAAACATCCCTCAACGTATAAATCTGTTTAACACTGGATGTGATAGATTACTGCTGCTTGTGTCCCAGGGGAGATCTGCTAAAAGATTTCCTTCCTCGCTCGGTATTATTGTTTAATCCTTACAACAGCGCAGCTGCTTCACTTCAGCCTTTGACATCCTTTTAGAAAACTTAATCTATATTTTTCTTTGAGTAACTCTCAAACTGAATACATCTGTTTTTCTCTTCATATGTTGTCTTTTCCAACAACACCATTA